ATTTTAAACTTATATATATATATATATATATATATATATATGTTATTACTGTTCTAAATAAAATCATAATATTTTTAATCACACTTCAGAATTTCTTGTTCGATATTCAATGAAAACTTATGAGATACCCTTTATTACACAAATAATAGAAGGTCTCGGTTTAAATTTAATATAATGATCCTGTCAAATAAAGAATTGCCATGAGTAAAGCAATTACGAGCTATGTAGCATACATTATTTCTTATATCACTAATTGTAACATGAACTGTGGGCATTAATACTATGTTTTTTAGAAGTTATATCAAAAATGTAATAATCGAATTATTATATTTTTAGGGGTGAAGAACTTGTTGGAGCTTAATTGTTGCTACATTGTTTAACTTAGAAAGTGACAGATTTAGTCAAAATATTTATTGTTTAGTTGTGTACATTATATCACTTTTTGAGAAGTCATAGATGTACGACTTTTTTAATAAATGATTTTTTTTGTTTTAGAAAAAGTCAAATAACTCAGCTTCACCCCACTAATAGGTAAGACTGGGTTCACATAATTATAACTCTATGGGAAATTTAGAATTACTATTAATAAATATTAAGGAACACACGAGTATTAAGTAAGTATTAATAAAATATTTCATTTGGCCACTGCTCCGCTACCCTTTTTTAACTCAGGGTTTTAATTGTGAAATAAAGAAATAAGAATTTAAAAAAATGTAATTTCAGTCTAACACGTTGAATGCCATGGGGGTCACCGAACCCAAGATTATTAGAAACACATAATTCGAGTAAATTTTAAATTTTTTTATATTATTATCGCTACTAAAACGGTTTGAAGAAATTAATGCAATACAGAACACACAGTTTTATAGTTAGTTTTATTTATATACACAGAAATGCCAACTTGCTCCGAACAGCGAATACATATTTTAAAGTGGTAGTTTATTAATTGTGATTCTTGGTTTAATAAATTCAATTTAGTAGATTTTTATCCAACACTAGTTTTAAACAATTCGTAGGCTTATATAATTCACCTTTTTTTCAGATATGTCATGCTAAACCTTTTAAAAAGTAGCAAAATCTGTCTAATATTTGCAAATTTAGTTTGTAGTCATTTACCGTTTGGTCAGACGGGAGAACCATGTAAAATTAGCATGGAATTCAACGTGTTAATATCAAAATTTCTATTTATAGAAGAGCTCTTTCTAAAATTTACGAAAATGTGTATTTGTATTACTTTCATCCATTTGAAACAAAGAGCTACTTTAAAACCCAATGAAATACACAATGAAACGACTTTCATCTAACTTAATTAAAATTGGAATAGGTTAAAGTTTAAATTTATATGCTACTTTGTTTTCATTAGAAACGGGGAGTGAATCAAGATATCTTAGTTTCAGCCTTAAGTGTCCTAATATAAAATTAAAATGTTCATCTTTATGCTTACTTTGCACCATCCATCAATAATTTTATGAACTAGGAATCTCACTTTCTCG